ATTTTAAAAAGCAATGAGACTAAAGCGACGAAAAAACAAGAATTGGGAATATATTTGATGGGGGTTTTAGGGAGCGCTTTGCCGCTTTTGGGGATTTAGAGCAGTTTTTACTACTCTGGATAGTTATATACGTCTGGAAGTTAATTGATTTTTGTTTTACAAGGGTGTAATTCGTACCCACTAATATTTATTTTTCTGATGAGTTTGTGTACTAGAAAAGACAGCAGTGACGTTAATCGACGAAAGACATTTAAGTTATAGAAAAAGAAATCAATAGAAACATGGTTATGTTTTAAATTTTCAATAAGAAATAATTGGAAGAGTATTTGTTAAATCCAGGCTTTTAACAGAGTCGTATTGTTAAATTCTTCCCTAAATTTAAATATCAAAGACGGTACTCGAAAGGCATATTATCAGGAATGCTTAATGTTTATAAAAAGATTGGAATGGAAATGAAGTTTTTCCTTTTTAATAGACTTCTGACGAAACTGATTTATTACCAGTCCCAGTATCTTGCTGTTTCCAATAATTTAGATCTTGCAGAATTACAGTGTTAGTTTAAGCTTACTGCTTAATTAAAAAATATCATGCAACGAACTACTAATTTCTTGAGGTTTTCGATTGTTTTAGTCTAAAAAAAAATGGTCGAAAATTGGTTATTTCGACAGAACTTCCCTCGCCCCTGCAGTACAGCCCAACAAATCCCCCTTCTTTCAAAAATTGTGTTTTTTAACACTACCGTAGTTTTTTTGACCTGAATTTTGAGTTTTTCAGTTTTCATACTTTTGAATTTTTCACTTTTTTCGATTTAAATTTTCTCGAGTTTTTAGCTTTTAAATTTTCAATTCTTCAAATTTTCGGTTTATAACTTTTTGTTTTTTCAATTTCAGTTTTTTCAATTTTTCGTTTTGATTTTTCAATTTTTATTTTTTTGATCTTCATTTTTGCAAAATGTAACTCTTCGAGTTTTCCTTTTTGAATTTTGGTCCCCTAATATTTTTAAAAACTGGAATAAAATCTTATACAGATTCTTTTAGCAACTACTTGGCCAGTCGCTTTGAAATCTAGCACGTTTTTTGAGGTTATCATCAGCCTGATAGATCTGTAGGTAAGCGAAGAAAAATGTTGTTGCCTCGGTGGGATTCGAACCCCACGCCTCTCGCTTTCCGGGCAAGCATCCTAACCACTAGACCACGAGGCTACTTATCTTTCTCCGGTTTCCAATGTGTTATAAAAACTTTGATGACGTTATGAAAAATGTGCTAAGTGAATTCTGTTTAAAATATCAACTTCACCTGCGAGGGAAGAATAACTGCAGACTAATTTTTTCAATATGAAAGTTTTCAATTTTTGGATTTTTAATTTTTTTCGGTTTTTCACTGTTGATTTTTTAATTTTTCGTTTTATCAATTTTAGATTTTTCAGTTTCTCGATTTTTCAATTTTTCGTTTCTTCAGTTTTTAATTTGCAATTTTTCTAGTTTGCATTTTGACTATGTAATAGTAATTAGGTACAATTTTCAATGTTTATCACCTTTTTAATTTTGCAATTTTAGAATTTTCTAATTTTTCGCTTCTTGTGTTTTAAAACTTTTTCATTTTTTTGATTTTTCAAGGTTTCGATTTTTAGTTTTTGAATTTCTCGATATTTAATTTTTTAATTTTTCGATCTTTCAATGTTACAGTTTTTCGACTTTACAATTTTGACAATTCTATAATGTTTTGTTTTTATAATTTTTGGGTTTTCCAGTTTTTCGATTTGATTCGTTTTTTCTTCTCTTCACTTTTTCGATTTTTCAATTTTTCCATTTTTCCACTTTAACTCAAAAAATTGCAAAATTGTAAAACTGAAAAATCAAAAATGAAATTAGGAAAAATTATAAAACAAAAACTAAAAATTGGAAATCAGTAACTTGAAAATTGAAGAAACGAAAAAGAATTGAAGAAACGAAGAAAAATAAAAAAACGAAGAAAAATTGAAGAAACGAAAAACTGTAGAATCGAAATTTCAATATTTTTTGCTATTTCTGTTTTTTAATGACTTCTATAAACTTAAAAAACCAGTGCACCGCAGCTTTTTTGACTAGAATTTTTCAATTCTTCAATTTTTCATTGTTTTTGTTTCTTCAGTTTTTCAATTCTCCAATTTTTGAATGTTTGAATTTTTAAGTTTTCTAAATTTTTCGATTTGAAGTTTTTCTTAAACATAGATTCAAACACTTGACAAAATAAAATTGACTCTTCATCTCACACTAAATAAAATAAACCAATGAAATCCAACATGGAGCTGGGTGGGATTAGTTTCACCTTTTTTGTTTAGCTTTCACTATTTATCAATATAAAATTTACTTTTCATCCAATAAAATGAGTGATCGAGAAGAAAACCGGGTGGGTGGGCGGGGCCACAAGAAGTTTTTTTTTTGTAGATTGGAACACTTGACAAAATAAAATTCAATCTTCATCTCACAATAAATAAAATAAACCAATGAAATTCAAACGTGGAAGTGGGTGTGATTAGTTTAATCTTTTTTTTAATTTTTCACATCTACAAATTTTCGATTTGCAATTTTTCGTTTTGGTTTTTATTTTCTTAATTTTTTTCAATTTTTCGGTTTTACAGTGTTCTGATTTTATAATTTTTCTTTTTTCCATTGTGAAAATTTCCAGTTTTTTGAATTCTCCAATTTTTCGGTTTTTCAACTTTTAGATTTTTTAATTTTTCGTTTTTTCAATTTTAGATTATTCAATTTCGCGTTTTTTCGATTTTCAGTTTCTTAATTTATGATTTGGAATTTTTCTAATTTTCGTTTTAGATATGTAATAATTATTATAATTTTTCGATTCGATTCGTCTTTTCTTTCCGATTTTTCAATCCATTTTTATCAGTTTGTCGTTTTGATTTACAATTTTTCGATTTTCCACATTTTCGATATTATAAACGACCCTTTTTTCAGTTTTTTGATTTTTCAATTTTTTCAGATTTTTCAGTTTTTGGGTTTTTCAACTTTTCGAATCGAAAAAATAGAAAAATTGCCAAACTGTAAAACTGAAAAATCAAAAATGGAGTTACGAAAAAGTATAAAATGAAAACTTTGAAAAATTTTGCAAATCGAGAACTTGAAAAATTGAAGAAACTAAAAATTGGCAAACCGAAATATTAAAAACTGAGAAACTGCAAAATTGAAAATACGCAAAATTGGAAAAACTAAATATTGTAAATCGAAATATTGAAAACTAAAGAAATCGGAAAATTGGGAAATCTGAAAATTGCGCAAAAATTATAAAAGAGGACCCGGGTGGGTTAGGTAGCATCGCGCCTGCCTGCCACACCTTGGGTCGTGGGTTCGATTCCCGCCCTGCTCTGGGTGTTGTGTATGTCCCCCGTTACCCTGTAATTGGGCCTCCGGCCTGTTGGGTAACGTTAACCAATAAAAAAAAAAAAAAATCGTAATAAACATTGAAAAAACATAGGAAATGAAGAAATGAAAAATTGTGATATAAAATTGAGAAAATGAAAATTAAAAAGTCGGAAATATCTAAAATAAAAATCAACTCGAAAATCTGAGGTAATGAAAGATTGAAAAATCAAAAAATTAAATACTGAGAAACTTCAAAATCGAAAAAATGCAAAATCGAAAAAACGAAATACTGTAGAATCGAAATTTCAATATTTTTTGCTATTTTTGTTTATTATAATCTCTACAAAGTTAAAACCAGTGAATCGCATCCTTTTTGACTTGAATTTTTTAAGTTCTTTATTTTTTGTTTTTTCAGTTTTTCGATTTGCAATTTTTCGATTTAAAATTTCTATAGTTTTCATTTAATTTTTCATTTCTTCAAATTATCGATTTACAAATTTTTGTTTTTTTTTTAATTTTTTTAATTTTTCGTTTCTTCAATGTTCTGATTTTATAATTCTTCTTTTAAAAGTAAAGTTTTTCAGTTTTTTGGATTTTTGAATTTACCGCTTTTTCAACCTTTACGTTTTTTAATTTTCTTACTTTCATTTATAGCCGTTTGCACCAAGTCTGATTAAATTTTAACGGATACTTAACGATAGCTTTAATCGGTAGTGTCGTTGCACCGTCACGGAACCAATGATTAAATACCTTCTTAATCATCATTCAACTAATCAGTGCTTGGACCGATGATTATGTGATAATTACAGCTTTGACAGTTTACGACAATTGTCATTTTGCGAACTTTTGTGCAGTATAAAGTACAGAAAATGATGAATTTCGTAAATTTGCCGGATATTCTAGAAGAAGATGACGATCTAGATGTACTAGAATTTGTAGTGCATGGGATTCCTCGTCAAATTTATGAGAGGAAAAACTATTTTGATGCGTTTGACGAAGTAGCATTTCGCCGGAGATTCAGGCTTTCTAGAGCTAGTGTTTTGTGTTTGTTAGAAGAGATAGAACGTGAATTGGAATATCCACACGATATGTAAGCACAAAAATTTATGTATTTTTATAATAAATACCTACAGATAGGTCCACGTAGAGGTTTATCTTAAATGGAATACATATCGGAAATTAAGTTCGTATTACAAAATGATCTCTGTTATATGATCTCTTTAGGAATAATTCTGTAGCGCCAATGAACCAGTTACTAGCCTGCTTGCGACTGTATTCTACGGGAGGGCATCTTCAGCAAGTTGCTGATTTCATGGGAATGCACGTTTCAACTGTATGCAGGATAGTGAAACGTGTTTCAGAAGCTATTGCAAGGTTGTACGGACAATATATACGATTTCCGCATGGAATTGGAGAAATTCGAGCAACCCAACAAGGCTTTTTTAGTATAGCTGCGTTTCCTAGAGTTATAGCCGTTTGCACCAAGTCTGATTAAATTTTAACGGATACTTAACGATAGCTTTAATCGGTAGTGTCATTGCACCGTCACGGAACCAATGATTAAATACCTTCTTAATCATCATTCAACTAATCAGTGCTTGGACCGATGATTATGTGATAATTACAGCTTTGACAGTTTACGACAATTGTCATTTTGCGAACTTTTGTGCAGTATAAAGTACAGAAAATGATGAATTTCGTAAATTTGCCGGATATTCTAGAAGAAGATGACGATCTAGATGTACTAGAATTTGTAGTGCATGGGATTCCTCGTCAAATTTATGAGAGGAAAAACTATTTTGATGCGTTTGACGAAGTAGCATTTCGCCGGAGATTCAGGCTTTCTAGAGCTAGTGTTTTGTGTTTGTTAGAAGAGATAGAACGTGAATTGGAATATCCACACGATATGTAAGCACAAAAATTTATGTATTTTTATAATAAATACCTACAGATAGGTCCACGTAGAGGTTTATCTTAAATGGAATACATATCGGAAATTAAGTTCGTATTACAAAATGATCTCTGTTATATGATCTCTTTAGGAATAATTCTGTAGCGCCAATGAACCAGTTACTAGCCTGCTTGCGACTGTATTCTACGGGAGGGCATCTTCAGCAAGTTGCTGATTTCATGGGAATGCACGTTTCAACTGTATGCAGGATAGTGAAACGTGTTTCAGAAGCTATTGCAAGGTTGTACGGACAATATATACGATTTCCGCATGGAATTGGAGAAATTCGAGCAACCCAACAAGGCTTTTTTAGTATAGCTGCGTTTCCTAGAGTTATAGGTGCAATTGATGGCACTCATATAAAAATACAGTCACCAGGTAATAAATGATGCATCAAATCATGTGATCAATTGATGTGTTTGTTACATCTATTTCAGGAGGGAATGATGCTGAGATATATCGCAATCGCAAGCAATTTTTTTCCATCAATACCCAAGTAATTTGTGACAGCAAATTGAAAATTACTAACGTTGTTGCGAGATGGGCTGGATCAGCGCACGATTCAACAATATTTAACCATAGCAGTATCAACCGTGATTTTTTAAACAATTTGTATCCCAATTGTATACTATTAGGTAACCAAATAGTTTTGCAGCTTTTTATTATGTTTTGACGTGGTTTTGACATTTTCTGTAGGTGATAGTGGATATGCTAATGGGAACTTTTTACTGACGCAGTTGTTGCATCCAAGAACTCCCGTGCAACAACTTTACAACGAAAGTCACATTCGTACTCGAAATGTTGTAGAAAGATGCTTCGGGGTGTTGAAACGCAGATTCCCAATCTTAGCTTATGGTTGTAGGCTAAAAATTGACACACTGTTAACAATAATAGTTGCAACAAGTGTTTTGCACAATATTTGTTTAAAGACAAATGATACAGAGGCACCCCCTGCTCCTGAAGAGATAAATGAGCAGGATTTGGAAGTGCAAATAAATGACGGACAAATGCCCAACATTGAAGAAGGGCCAGACCCAGTTCGCTATGGTACACGAGAAATTTTAATAGAACAACACTTTGCTGCATTGTAAATAACGACTTTATTTTAAATTCTACAACGCAGAATTACCAATGCAGAACGATTATTATAATTAACTTTTTTATTACATAATAATATTCTTTATGACAAATAATTATTGTTTGTTTTTTGGAGAAGATCTAGTTGTGCCTGTTTTATGGCAATATCTATCTTCTGCGCTTGAACCGTGTAGCAGTGAATTTCTTCTTCCCGTTCTCTTCTCCTCTTTACATCTATTTCCCACTGTTTTTTTGCCTGGATTTGAAATTGCTCAGCTCTTTTCAAGATTGAAAGTTGAACAGCTCCAATTTCAGTTTTCATATCCGCAACATCTTCATACTTCTTGGCGATTGAAGTTGTTGCGCATAAAGCAGGCCTTCTTCTTTTTATCCATTCCATTTTGTTCTCACATTTGTCTGTAGTCATTCTCTTCTTTCCTTTTGAGGGAAATTGGATGGGTGAGGTTCTCTCTAACATCCTATTACGCGGTGCAGCTTCTTCTTCCAATACATTTGTTTCATTAATTGCAGCTTGTAGTTTTGGATTCAATGGAGTTTTTAAATGCAGAGCCTTTCTGTTTCCCCAATCGACACGTGCTTCTTTTGCTGGGGTTTGTTTTGGCTGCGGTGATTTTTCAGTGCTTGTCCCTCCAATCTCAAATGCCAGAGAAGATGATGGTGATCTTATTGATGATGGTGTCATTACTGGTGATGGCGTTCTTATTGGTGATGGTATGGGTGATGGTTCGCGGGGTGGTGACGATGACGGCGATTCCAAGACCCTCGGTCGATTTAACCGTAGGTCACGTTCCTAAAATAACAATAATAATGATAATTTAATTGTCTCAAGATGTTTTAAGTGCACTTAATACAGCTATACTTACCTCTTCGTTAACAGGCGCGTCGCCGTCAAAACGGGAGTTATGTCCATACACAGTCTTTTTATTCACTATGTCCAACGTGAGATCTAAAAAAGGATCCCCCGTTGAAGCATATCGTCCGCCGCCAGTTTTTTTTCTCTCAAATTTGTCATTTGCTGCCTTTTTAGTGAGCATTCTTTTGTGGTTGTCGAAGAACATTTTTATTGAATCGGTACTGCGATGCACACCACTTGCAGCATTAAACTTAGCCGCTATCGCCTTCCATGCCTGTTTTTTTTCTTCCCAGGTTACGGAATCCGTTTTTTTATTTTCGACTACATGGCTGTATTTCTTAATTATGTTTAATAATAACAGTTTTTCGTCTGGAGTGTAATTCGGAGCCCGTCCTCGGGTTGTTTTTGCTTTATTTTCACTCCTCATTGAAGAAACTTACTTCACGCGAACACAAATTTGAAAAACACTGTCAGGTATGACATTAGATTATGAAACAAAACGTCAAAATCAAGAAATTTTGCCATGTTGTCAAATGTGTCACTTGATTAGCTAACGAACTGTCACACGCTGAACGGTGCAATGCAAGTCCTGATTAAGGGCCCGTTAAATTTAATTATTGATTAACTAATCAATACTTTTAACAAACACCGGTGCAAACGGCTATTATAGGTGCAATTGATGGCACTCATATAAAAATACAGTCACCAGGTAATAAATGATGCATCAAATCATGTGATCAATTGATGTGTTTGTTACATCTATTTCAGGAGGGAATGATGCTGAAATATATCGCAATCGCAAGCAATTTTTTTCCATCAATACCCAAGTAATTTGTGACAGCAAATTGAAAATTACTAACGTTGTTGCGAGATGGCCTGGATCAGCGCACGATTCAACAATATTTAACCATAGCAGTATCAACCGTGATTTTTTAAACAATTTGTATCCCAATTGTATACTATTAGGTAACCAAATAGTTTTGCAGCTTTTTATTATGTTTTGACGTGGTTTTGACATTTTCTGTAGGTGATAGTGGATATGCTAATGGGAACTTTTTACTGACGCCGTTGTTGCATCCAAGAACTCCCGTGCAACAACTTTACAACGAAAGTCACATTCGTACTCGAAATGTTGTAGAAAGATGCTTCGGGGTGTTGAAACGCAGATTCCCAATCTTAGCTTATGGTTGTAGGCTAAAAATTGACACACTGTTAACAATAATAGTTGCAACAAGTGTTTTGCACAATATTTGTTTAAAGACAAATGATACAGAGGCACCCCCTGCTCCTGAAGAGATAAATGAGCAGGATTTGGAAGTGCAAATAAATGACGGACAAATGCCCAACATTGAAGAAGGGCCAGACCCAGTTCGCTATGGTACACGAGAAATTTTAATAGAACAACACTTTGCTGCATTGTAAATAACGACTTTATTTTAAATTCTACAACGCAGAATTACCAATGCAGAACGATTATTATAATTAACTTTTTTATTACATAATAATATTCTTTATGACAAATAATTATTGTTTGTTTTTTGGAGAAGATCTGGTTGTGCCTGTTTTATGGCAATATCTATCTTCTGCGCTTGAACCGTGTAGCAGTGAATTTCTTCTTCCCGTTCTCTTCTCCTCTTTACATCTATTTCCCACTCTTTTTTTGCCTGGATTTGAAATTGCTCAGCTCTTTTCAAGATTGAAAGTTGAACAGCTCCAATTTCAGTTTTCATATCCGCAACATCTTCATACTTCTTGGCGATTGAAGTTGTTGCGCATAAAGCAGGCCTTCTTCTTTTTATCCATTCCATTTTGTTCTCACATTTGTCTGTAGTCATTCTCTTCTTTCCTTTTGAGGGAAATTGGATGGGTGAGGTTCTCTCTAACATCCTATTACGCGGTGCAGCTTCTTCTTCCAATACATTTGTGCCATTAATTGCAGCTTGTAGTTTTGGATTCAATGGAGTTTTTAAATGCAGAGCCTTTCTGTTTCCCCAATCGACACGTGCTTCTTTTGCTGGGGTTTGTTTTGGCTGCGGTGATTTTTCAGTGCTTGTCCCTCCAATCTCAAATGCCAGAGAAGATGATGGTGATCTTATTGATGATGGTGTCATTACTGGTGATGGCGTTCTTATTGGTGATGGTATGGGTGATGGTTCGCGGGGTGGTAACGATGACGGCGATTCCAAGACCCTCGGTCGATTTAACCGTAGGTCACGTTCCCAAAATAACAATAATAATGATAATTTAATTGTCTCAAGATGTTTTAAGTGCACTTAATACAGCTATACTTACCTCTTCGTTAACAGGCGCGTCGCCGTCAAAACGGGAGTTATGTCCATACACAGTCTTTTTATTCACTATGTCCAACGTGAGATCTAAAAAAGGATCCCCCGTTGAAACATATCGTCCGCCGCCAGTTTTTTTTCTCTCAAATTTGTCATTTGCTGCCTTTTTAGTGAGCATTCTTTTGTGGTTGTCGAAGAACATTTTTATTGAATCGGTACTGCGATGCACACCACTTGCAGCATTAAACTTAGCCGCTATCGCCTTCCATGCCTGTTTTTTTTCTTCCCAGGTTACGGAATCCGTTTTTTTATTTTCGACTACATGGCTGTATTTCTTAATTATGTTTAATAATAACAGTTTTTCGTCTGGAGTGTAATTCGGAGCCCTTCCTCGGGTTGTTTTTGCTTTATTTTCACTCCTCATTGAAGAAACTTACTTCACGCGAACACAAATTTGAAAAACACTGTCAGGTATGACATTAGATTATGAAACAAAACGTCAAAATCAAGAAATTTTGCCGTGTTGTCAAATGTGTCACTTGATTAGCTAACGAACTGTCACACGCTGAACGGTGCAATGCAAGTCCTGATTAAGGGCCCGTTAAATTTAATTATTGATTAACTAATCAATACTTTTAACAAACACCGGTGCAAACGGCTATTTAGACATGTAACTAATATTAATTATAATTTTCGATTTTTAATTTTTGCATTTCCCGATATATAATTTTTCAGTGTTACAGTTTTCCGAATTTACAATTTTGACGATTCTATAATTTTAAGATTCGATTCGTCTTTTCTTTCCGATTTCAATCCTTTTTTTCAGTTTTTCGTTTCGATTTACAATTTTTCGATTTTACAAATGATCGTTTTTTCAGTTTTTCGATTTTTCAATTTTTTCCGATTTTTTAGTATTTGGTTTTTTGAAATTTTCCAATCGAAAAAGTGGAAAAATTGCTAAATTGCAAAACTGAAAAATCAGAAATGGAGTTACGAAAAAGTTTCAAACGAAAACTTTGAAAAATCTAAAAATTGGAAATCAAAAATTTGAAAAAATGAAGAAACGAAAAATTCAAAAATGGAAAGATTAAAAACTTAGAAATTTCAAAATCGAAAAAGCACAAAATTGAAGGAACTAAATATTGTAAATTGAAATATTGTAAATGAAACATCGAAACATGAAAAATTGAAGAAACGAGAAATTGAAAAATTGAAAAAATAAAGAAAATGAACAAACGAAAAGTTTTGATTTCAAAAAATTGTTCGAAGATAAATAAATCCAGATTTTTCCGAAAAATTATAAGATTTGATTTCAAATTTTATATTTTCTATGATAACCCTTGTAAAGTAAAATTAAGATATGGATTCATAAACTACATCTGAAGGATTATCTTATTTTATAAAATTGAAATAATATTTATTAATGTAAATTGTGGAGATAGGGTCATCTGATTGTTGGTGCGGATATTTATAAAAATTTTGCTTAGCGTTTTACCATCTACAGGATATTCCTAATACACATTTAAATTTGACAACAATCGGTCCAGTAGTTTTGGAGATGTCAAATAAAAATTCGGACAGACGGCAGACAAACAGACAGACAGACGGGAACGCGAGACTTATTTTTGTTTACTCTAAAGGTCATGAAACATCGAAAAAACATAAAAGTAGCCAGTATCATACCGTAACGAAAATAGTAAAAACACACACCAAAAAAATTTGCCTCTTTTATTCGATAATTTTTTTATTTTCGTTGTAGCCCGTCGTGTTGATGAATGTTTTTCATCATCTTAAGTGGAATTAATTTGCATGACCATGTTCTGCGTTGTAATAATAACGGTAATGGTCCTGAAAGCAATTATTATTATAGCAAGACAAGAGTTTCAAATGTGGGACGTTAGAGTTTCGTTGAATTTTAC